CGGAAGGATCGCCTGAGCCCAGCAGGTCGAGGCTGCGGTGGCCGGGAGCAGCCACTGCACTCCAGTCTGGACGACGGAGTGAGACTCCAACTCAAAAAAAAAAAGAATAAGGACAAGCTTGCAACTGCAAGCTTCCTTTCTGGAGCAATTACTGGGAATTCTGTTTTGCCTGCTGCACTTGCCTGCACATATGGCAAAGGGATATAAACATTTATCTTTGAGCATGCATGTTCTGCCATTTTTCTTTAGATTATGATGCTTGGAAGGTGTGTCTACGACTTCGAGATAACGGACTTCTGGCCAAGCCAACCCATGACGACATCATCAGGCTTGCACCTCCACTGGTGATCAAGGAGGACGAGATTCGTGAGTCCATCGAAATCATCAACAAGACCATCTTGTCTTTCTGAGGGTGGCAGCTGTTGTCAGTGGTCCCTGGGGGCCGCTGGAGACAGATCTGTGGTCCTGTGTGGCTCTGCTCTTAATGCAGGCACACTCTCCTCCCATGGGTCTTCAAAGACTTTTTTTTTGGAGTATATATATTTTTTAGTTGATACTTAATAGAGTGACATTTATGACCCTGCAGCTGGCTGTGTAATGCAACTGAGAATATAATGGCATCTGTATTCGGTGAAGTGTTTATATGTGCATGTGTACTTTCAAAGGTAAATGCTTCTATCTGTATATATACAGCCTTTAAATCAAGTCCTTCCATATAATTTATATACGTTTTTATAATTTCCTTGCTGGTATAAATGTTTTGTATTTAAAAAAGTTATCAGTGTGGTATTACGTAAAAGACAACCATATAAAGTCAAATAATAATTATTGAATTTCAGGATGGATTAATGGTTAAGTATATATAAAATACTCATTTTAAGTAAACTTCATATTGGCCAGCACCAAAGTGTATTCTATGGGTGTCATTCTTTTGAATTGAGAATCAATATTTAACATTCCCAAATGTTGTTTAAAGTGCTTGATTATAATTTGTAAAAAGAAAAGTTATTTTAAATGTTTCTTTAAAATAAAGCTTCTATTTCAAATATCTGTTTTGTGATCAGTATCACCTTAAACGGAGAAGCTGAGGCAAAATTAGTATAGAGAGTTTACTTGGCCCGAAGTTGAGGATTACAGTCCAGACACTTCCAGTTTCCTTGAAGAGTGCGCCGGGGAACAAAGGAGAGGCTCACAAATCAGGGAGGGGGTGGTTCTCATTGGTTTGCAGAAATAACATTGCTTAGTGATTGGCTCTACCTTGAAGTATGGGGTTTGTGGCATTTTATGGCTACTTAGCTCAAAGGGAGAGACTCTACTGCTATTTTATTCCCATACCTTTCTGGGACTGACGTTCTTCAGATAAAATAATTTTTTTTCTCACATCATTATGCTATTACTGCAGTATTATTAGTGACCGAACATTGTTAAGCTCTTTGAGACTTCCACTTTGGTGATCTATAGAAAAACAACTTACAAGACTGGGTGTGGTGGCTCATGCCTATAATCCCAGCACTTTGGGAGGCCAAGGAGAGAGGATTGCCTGAGCCCGTGGGTTCGAGACCAGCCTGGCCAACTTGGTGAGACCTCCTCTCTACAATAAATAAATAAAATTAGCCAGGTGTGGTGGCATGTGCCTGTAGTCCCAGCTACTTGGAAGGCTGAGGTAGAAGGATCACCTGAGCCCAGCAAGTAGAGGCTGTGGTGGCCGTGAGCGTGCCACTGCACTCCAGCCTGGGCAACAGAAAAGGACCTCAACAATAACAAAAATTCGGAGCTCTGGTACTCGGGGTGGTGTTCTGTCATTTAATGAACTACGTTTAAATTAGGGTGCAGTTATAGGGAGGTCTTCTCATACCAACTGCATTTGGGATTGTACCCAGGCCAGGTAATAAAAAGCTCCCAGGGGATTCGAGGTTGAGAACCTGGTTTAGGAACCTTACCAAGATGCAGATTCTGATTGTGTGTGTGTGTTAGGAGTCAGTTTAATTTGCCTTATATTATCAGGAAAGGTCTAAAGGCCAGGTGATTTTAACAATCCCCCTGCTAAATTCTTTGAAGGCCTTAATACCAAGAGGGGAATCCCTGGCAGCTGGGAAGGTGACCAAAGATGGTCTAGAGCCTTGGGCTCCAGGCCTAATTTGTTGAACAGTGGGGTCACTGACGGAAGAGAGTGAAGTGGGGAAGTGGCATGAATCCTAACTGTTGGAAAAGCCTGCCAGGGTGGGTATATAGGACTGACGTGTCCGGGACACCCATCCAGGATACACTTGACTGTGGGGCAGTGGGGTCTGTGTAGGGTGGACAGGAGACCAGGGGCCTGCTTGCTTCAGGGTGTCGGGGATGAAGTGGAGGGGTGGTGGGGGCGGGGGGCAGAATTAGACTTGGGGCGGGACATCAGCTATTGCTGTGAGGCTTGTGCAGAGTGGGCTACCACCCACATTTCAGGAGAGTGATGAGGATTAAGAAAGATGGTGTGGGTAAAGCCCCTGGCGTTCTACCTGAGAGAGTTGTAGATCAGTGAATGAGTTGCTAGCTTCCTCTCCCCAGCCCCAAACACACAGTTGGAGGACTTTGGGAGAGAGGAAGTTTCCAGAAAAGAAATCTTCGGGTACGGTTGACATCTGGATGAGGGAGAGATGGGATAGAATTGACAGGCCTTGCCGTATCACGAGGGGACGTCAACCTGAATGGAAGAAGCTGAAGCAAAATTAATTGAAAGCATTTATTTGGGCCAAGGTTGAGGACAGAGGGCTTCAGGGAACAAAGGAGTCTCACAGATCCGGGAGGGGGTGATTACCAAAGTTACTTACCCGGAATTCTCATTGGTTTGCAGAAATAACATTGGTTACTGACTTTGTATCCATTGTTGAACGGTAGGGCGTGTGGCATTTTATGGACTTGGCTTCAGTTAGTCTAGAGCCCTCGTAGCAAGTGGCTTCAAGAGATAACTGTTCCGCTCAAGAGGGAGTGAGTGACATGTGACTGCTGAAAATGCCTCTTTGGGCTGGATCATTTAGAAGGGCTCACATTCTCCAGATTAAAAAGTTATTTTTCTTTCTCAAGGAAAAGTGGTCCAAAGTGGAGGAAAACTCACAAAGTATGGGATGCCCCGGTCCACAGGCCTTGGGGAAATATGTTCAAAGAAAGATGATAATCTCAGTGCTTTGCGCTTAAAAAAGTCACCAGGATACTCATCTAAATTAATCACTGCACACCCGAGGAGACTGAAGCTGGACAGGACATCTGATTTACCCAGAATAGGACAGTAGGCGGAAATGACAACACGTCAGGCCCTAGGGATGTGATGTCCCCAGCCTCCTCTGCAGCACGTCCTGGCATGGTGGGGGCACGTGGGAACACTTGCGGGTTTAGATCTTGTATCATTGGAGTCACCCGGCTTATTTAAAAAATTAATGTCAATGTCCAGGTCCTACTTCCAATGAATTACATCAGAACCTCTGGGGATTGGGCCTTGGCATCTGGATATGAAACGCTCTCTGGGATTCTAATGTGCAAAGTGGAAATTGAGTGTCATTGCGGGGTGTCACCCACTCAACCATGCCAGGCACTGGGCCTGCACCGATGCCATCAGTGAATGACCCAATAGTCCCTAGCCTCATGGGGCTTTTTAGTAAACACATTTATTGGGAAAATGTTGGTCCAGGCATGGTGGCTCATGCCTGTAATCCCAGTACTTTGGGAGGTGGTGGCTAGAGGATTGCCTGACCCCAGATGTTCGAGACCAGCCTGGGCAACTTGGCGAGACCTTGTCTCTACAAGAAATAAAACAATTAGCCAGGCGTGGTGGCGTGTGCCTGTAGTTCTAGCTACTTGGAAAGCTGACGCAGAAGGATCGCCTGAGCTCAGCAGGTTGAACCTGCAGTAGCCTTGAGCGTGTCACTGTGCTCCATCCTGGGTGACAGAGTGAGACTCCAACTCAAAAAAAAAAAATCAAATAAAAATAAAAATGTTTATTGAATACCACTTGGCTGGCCCAGAAGGATAGGCAGCAGTTTAAAGAAATAGCAGTTGTTAAACAGTCTGTGCCAGGCAGTATTCTAAAACACCTTAAGGCTCCCCACAGATACTATTACCCCCATTTACAGATGAGGAAACCAAGCTCAGAAACCTTAACTCACTGAAAGAGTGGTGATGCCCAAGACCCCTACAATGCCAGGACAAGGCTTCTGAGGGAGTGGTCCCAGGTGCCTCTGGGGCTGGGCGTGGGGAGAGGCCTCTGGAGTGAGTAAAAGCATTCCACTTTGTTTCTAACTTGGGGGATAGATTCTTAATAATAAGCACACAAAAGCAGCTTAGTCCTTTTAGGAAAACGCGCTTTACAACATATTTTAGGACTCACTCCACTGTTCCATACATGTGTAATGGCTCAGAGGAGTCGATGATCTCAGCTGGGGCCTTTTACTCTGAATAACTTGCAAATGAGATTTTCTCCCCCCTGTGCATCAGCCCAGTCCTTCAAATTCTTAATGAAATATCAGAACTAATATGACTTTTATCACTTGCATCACAACATGTAAGTGGCAGAACAGATGGTAAGCTATAGATAAGGCTTGGGTGGAGGGCGGGGTTCCGAATCTGGGTGGACGCCGGGCCTGGAGGCCTTTAGTCATGGTAGATTTTCCATAGGCCAGCCCCTGAGATGGGAGGGTGCAGTGTGTTAGGTCAGACCCGACAAGGTGGGTCTGCGATCCGATGCCATAAGAAAGATGCAAAGACTTGCAAGGAAAAGCAAAAGAGTTTATTCACATTCAGGACAGGGTCTGAATGGGGCCCATGCTGCAAGCAATGTGGTCCTGTGGGGTGGGGTACGGATGCTTTTAAGGTTTCTATAAGGTAAAAGGGTGAGTAAAAATTTCCAGCCACTGCATTCTTGGGTGGTGGCATATTAGGCCTCGTGCCTAGACGGTGTCTGGACAACACATCTGTGACTCCAGCAGGTGGGCAGGTGGGCTGTCACTGAAGACTGACCACGACAGATTAGATTAGTTCAGTCTTGTGATTGGGTGGCAAACACTGGGAATAGAAAGGCTGATTAATACCAAACAGGTAGGGAAGGGGTTGTAAAGCAATTATCAATAGCTACTTCTGAGAAACCGGTTCTGTCCTTGCCTAGTGATTTAAGGGCAGGCTCGGTAATTCTGGACACAACTAGGCAGTGTTTTGTGTCGGTGACCAGCACTGACCAAGGGTGGGTTAGGACCCGCACCAAAGAATCTGGACAGCGAGAAGAGACCACTCGGAGGCAGTTCTTCTGGGAACAGTCTGATCAGGACTGAAGCCAAATTTTATTCGGACTCCTTCCAACTTATATACCATTTTCTATACCCTCCAGCAGTGTGATAATCACTTACTGGGGGCGTACAAATTCCGTGCTTTACAAACTATGCATCACAAGACCACCACGAGATCTGCTATTTCCCAAGCAAACAATTCGAATTCCATGATGCCTGCCGTGCTTACATTAAGGTCACAGGTGCACAATTTCAGTACAAATCGTTCAAAGTGTTTTCCATAATGTTCAATGAATCATTCATATTATACTCTTTGTTCTATACCCTGATTAAACACAAAAAACTTTTCTAAGT